ACTGGGGGTCGACCCCCACTGGGGGCCTGAAGCAGCGCCCCAAGTCTATTTTGATGGTCTAAATTATTCATATTATAAAGTTCGTGAAGGAGAGTGTCATGATAAAAATCAAGTTAATCGTATATTCGTAACTACATGATCAGTATCTAAAAAATAAATTATTATCAAAATAATGGTTATGAATATTTTAAAAAAAAATTAAATGTGATATTATTATATGGTTACAAATATTTAATTTATTTGATTATTTTATAAATAATTTACTTGTTGAATTTTAAAATGATTTAAGATTATCAATATAGGTCCGATATCGATCCAAAGGGGCACAAGAGTATCCCCTTCCCTATTTTTTAGTGTGTTTTTGAATATACTAAAATTGACACCCGTACTTATTTGTAAAAGGATATGAATTTTTATGCTAAAATAATATTCTTCCTGTATTTTTTCGGTTAGGCTATTCACGGCCCTATTTAGAATCAATCTGTTTATTCATAAAAGAAAAGAATAATGTAATTAATAATGACCCTGTTTGGTAGAGCTGTGGGAAAGTGCTTATAGCTTATAACTATGAACATAAGCTGATTTCTGACTTATAAATTAAGCATCTCCTGCCCCACTAAAAAAATAAGCTGATTTCTGACTTCTAAAAAACTATAAGTTATAAGTTATAAGTTAAACCAAACACATCAAAATAGCTTAAATTAAGCTGAAAGTTGAAATAAGCTGCTTTTAAGTTCTGTCAAACAGGCACAATATCAGTCAGATAATTTCATTATATTTATGTTTAAATAAAATTGAACAAATAATATAATTTTAAAAATAAATCATCAATTTATTAAATTTATTGAAAACATCAGTATGATTTTTTTAAAATAAATAATCTATATAAAGAGCTTAAAAATCGTTAAATTAATATCTTTGTATAGATTTGAGCTCATCTCCAAACTGCACTTCTACCTTAAGTCCGTTTGGGAACTTAACTATTTTAGTTATTTGACTAAAAAAAGTTTATATTTGAGATGATAATTAGAAAAATAACTTATTTTTTTTTTTTGTAATTAGATATGATGTTTACGAGAGAAAAAATAAAATAAATATAAATTTGATGTAATATTTTATTTTATTAACTACATTAGTCTATTTTGTCTTTATTGACTATTTAACTAAAAAGCAAAAAAAACTATATGTCCAAACACGACCAATTTATATGGACACTTTTTTAATAGCAGTTTTATATTCACATAATTTCTTTTCTCCACAATCCCCTTGATAATGTGGCAAGACAAAATGCATATAAAGAGAGTTTAGCCACAAAAAATAAAATAGGCTATTTTAGCCACAAAAAACAAAATAGGCTATTTTAGCCATAACAAACAAAACATCACATCCAACTCATAATCATTACATTCTTCTCTCACAAAAAAACTCAAAAAAGCCAAAAAGCCCTTCCCAAACCAAGCTTTTAAGCCCAGGCTAAAATAGTCAAAAAAGTCAAAAAGCCAAAAAGCTAACCCACTTCCCAAACGGAGGCTGAATGTGAGTTAACTTTTTAAATTTTGTTTGCTACATCATTATGAGGTCTCGTTTGGGAACAAGCTAATTTTTAGTAACTTTTTGGCTATTTGGCTAAAATATGAGCTAAAAAAAATTAGTATGTTTGGGATGGATTTTTGACTTTTTACAAAAAGATGTGCAAAAAGTAGAGAGAAAATAGAATCTTTGACTTTTTGGCTAATTTAATAACTTTTTAACTAAAAAGTTCAGTTGCCAAACGAGGCTCGGAGATTGTGAAAAACAATTCCTGTGAATAAATCATTTTTGTTTTTTTTTTTTTTTTATCAGTATATATGTTTACCTTACTATTAAAATTTTGAGTCATTCCCTATGTATTATACAATTTCCCATATAGTTAGGCTTCGTTTGGAAAGATAGTTTAAGGATTTTTTTGACTATTTTAGCCACAAAAGATAAAATAGGTTATTTTAGTCACAACAAATAAAACATCACATCTAACTCATAATCATTATACTCTTCTCTCACAAAAAAAGTTAAAAAAGCTAAAAAATCAAAAAATTCTTCCCAAACCAAACTTTTTAGCCCAGGCTAAATTAGCCAAAAAAGTCAAAAAGTCAAAAAGCTAACCCACTTTCCAAACGAAGCCTTAGGCCTCGTTTGGAAACAGACTAATTTAGTAATTTTTTGGCTATTTGGCTAAAAAAGTAGGTAAAAAAAACTTATATGTTTGAGATGACTTTTTGGCTAATTACGAAAAGATGTGCAAAAAGTAGAGAGAAAAGAGAATCTTTGACTTTTTGGTATGAATTGTTGACTTTTTGACTAAAAAAGTAACTTTTTGACTTTTTGACTAAAAAGATAAGTCTCCAAACGGGGCTTAATAGTTTTTCAGTTATGGTGGGCATGTGGGTAAGAGCGTACGTTAGCCTCATTAAATATAAATTTTAGTTAAATATAATTAATAAATTATAAAATTCTTATTTTATTAAGCTTAACAAATTATTTTTAAATTAACTTTTGGTTAATTTTGCTGTAGTACTTTAATAAATTTGTTGAGTTATATTCATTAATTATTCAATAGTTTATCATTATTTTGATATATTTGACCTCATTTTTTTAAAATTTTTTTTAAGTACTATTCATCGAACAGATATTTAAAAATTATTCAAATACAAAAAATGAATAAAAATAAATATTTTAATAAAATAGAATTTTAAATTAAAAATTCTGATAGAATGTGCGTATAAAAAAAAGTTATAAAATGTAAGGGTGTGAATGCCGTTATGAGGTTGAATTTAAAACACTCGTTCGCGTCAAAAGGCTTCAACTTCAAGCTGCGTAGGAAACTCTCCAGTCCAGCAGATTCAAGAGTGAGGAAAGGGAGAGAGAGAGAGAGAGAAATGTGGTGGTGTTACCTGTGGTACTGTTCATCTTCTTCCTATTGCCTCAGTCGATCAACCCGCTGATATCTTCACTAAAGCTCATCCTTCTGGCCGCTTTCATGATCTTGTTTCCAAACTCAACTTGGTTGATGTTTTCCCTCCTTGAGTTTGCGGGGGGCTGTTAGTTTATTATTGTATCATGTTAGTGTTAGTGTTAGTTTATTATTGTATAAAGGTAGTGCTATTAGAATATGATAGTTAGTGTTAGTCATAATGAATGTTCCCATTTAATTTCTTCTTTCTGTGCAAATTGGTGGCACCCTATGTAGCTTTTCCTCTCTATAAAAGAGAGTGTAAATCTCCTAATAATACACACAATAACTGAATAATTCAGTGGCTATTTCTCTCTCTCTCAATCCTCTATCACTCTCTCAAATTATTGTTTCAGGTTTTATCGATTTTGTCAGTTTAATATAGAAGAGAAATTTATATGAAATTTTAAAAGGTTTTATAGTAAATTATAGAATTTTATGTTGAAAATAAATGAAGAAAATACACGAAAATTGCTCTATAAATGATTCTGGACATGTATGAATTGATTATTATATGATGTGTGAGCTATTATATATATGTGTGAAAGGTTTTTATTTTGCCACATATGCACAGCTTATTAGACAATATTTGTGTTTTTCCTTCCGCTTCTGCGCCCCTATTGATAACTATGCTTGATTTTCTGTCTAAGGCTGTAGGTAAACTCATGATTATTGGCCGGTTATGATGCTAACTTCTAGGGGCGAGTTCGGGTCATGACAGTAGAGGTCGTTTCGAAAATTGAAGGATAAAAAGTTTAAGTGTAAATTACAGTAAATCTCCTTAAACTATGACTCATTTGCACTTTGACCCTTTGAATTTCGAAACTCAACAATTAACTCCCTCAAAATATGATCTTATTGCAGTACTAACCCTATTTGTTAGGATTTTGTGAGAAATTTACAAAAAATCAGGTCATGTATAAAGCACATGATACATTTGTTGAACTTTTAGAACAATAATACCTGTTATGGATTGTTTTAGGATAATAATACTCTTAACTGGTAATTTCATTTGTACTTTGTCTTCTTATCTTAGTGGCAAAATGCAAACGAAATAACCAAATAAGGGTATTATTGCCCTAAAATTTAATAAATGTGTCATTACTTTACACATGATCTGATTTTTTGTAAATTCTTAAGAAAATCTTAACAAAAATGATTAACTGTAATAAGATAATACTTTAAGACGGTTAACTGTATAGTTTTGAAGTTCAATGGGCAAAATATAAACGGATCATAGTTTAAGAAGATAAATTGTAATTTATCCAAGGTTTAACTTACCCTTTACTAAGGAGTATAAAATAATTAACCTACTATCTCTGTTATGTTTCTTCAGACAAATTATTTGGATCACAACCAATGAAACTTACGAAATTTGTTCCTTCTTTTTTGTTAAATAAAAAAAAAGAAAAGAAAAGAAATAGTTAAATCATAATAATAGTAATGTTCGGAAGGTTTCATTTTTATTCACATAACCATTTGCATAAATTGTTCTCAAGTTGCCCCTTCCAATTTCCATGCCTATATAAACATCACCATTCTGTTTCCCTTAGAAGTTCATAAACTATGTACCAACAAATAGAACATATATTGCTGGTTCATTAGACTTATGAAGTTATGACCAAATGTATCATAGCCAATTTTCAACTTGTCTTTCTTTATTTTTTGGAGAAATATATTGCAGTGGTCATTAGAAGTTATGTGTTCTGAATGAAGAGTATATTTGGGATGAGAATTGGATTATTTATTTATTTATTATTATTTAAAATTCTTGCCTTCATCCTCTTTCTCCAATACCACCGCGGACTCAAGTGAATATGCACAATTTCTAGGAAAATTTGGGAGATTTTTATAAGCTTTTCGAGCATTTTTTACATTTTTCCAAATATTATTATCCTTTTTTTTAAAATTTTTTTTTTTTTATAACTAAATGCATGGAGTAGCCTGTATTACACTGGCATTTGCTGGAATGTGTTTTTTTGCCTAATGGTGAGTGCAAATACAAATACAGGAGCATCAAGTGGTATTGGGGCGGAAACTGCGCGTGTCCTTGCATTACGGGGTGCCCATGTTATCATGGGTGTGAGGAATATGGGTGCAGGAGAAGAGGTTAAAGAAGCTATTGCTAATGAAGTTCCAGCTGCTAAGATTGATGTCATGGAGTTGGATCTCAGTTCAATAGCTTCTGTTAGGAAATTCGCATTAGATTTCGCTTCCTTGGGTATCCCACTGAACCTTCTAATGTAAGTAAGATGAGGAATGACATCATAGAATCAAGAAATAAATCACTTTGCTTCATTCATGGTCTGCCAGCCATTATTTATTTACATGGTTTTTTTATCTTGTTGTGCTTCGTATGTGTGTGTATTGTGCTTGGTGTGTAATCTTTACTCGTTGGTTTAATTACATCTTGTCTTTCTTTGTTGTAATTAGTAACAATGCAGGAATAGGAAATCACTTCATGCTTTCCAAGGACAACATAGAACTACAGTTTGCCACAAACCATTTAGGTATATATGTTGCATATTACTAAGTCTACTCCTGATCACTTCATATGAAAATAAATAAATAAAAGAAGTTGATAAAGAAGAAAGTTTACTTTGATGCAAGACGCCACCATTATTATTGTTGTTTTTGTAAATTATAAGCCCATTTGCAGGTCATTTTCTTTTGACAAATCTTTTATTGGACACCATAAAGAAAACGTCACGTGAAACCAAAAGAGAAGGAAGAATTGTAAATGTTTCATCAGAGGGGCACCGATTTACGTATCGTGAAGGAATTCGTTTTGATAATATCAATGATGAAGCAGGGTAAAATTTTGAATTGAAGTTATTTATGAGATATGTAATGTGCATATATTAGGACAACAATTTTTAAAAAGAAATAAATAAAAATATGTTTTTGAAGTTGTGTTTCTACTTGATTAATTTTTATACAGATACAGCAGTGCACGCGCATATGGCCAATCAAAGCTTGCTAACATTTTGCATGCTAATGAGCTTGCAAGACGTTTAAAGGTATTTTTTTGTTGTGTTCATGAATCTGAATGAAGTTCCATGTAACCTCCTCTGCTATCAGTTTTTAGCATTGAGAAGGGTTCCATTGACTCTATCGATATAAATCACTTTTTTACACTGGATGTATGTTTGTCTACTAGGCCTAAACAACGAATCTTTGTCCTTCAAGAGTACCTTGATGTTTATTTTTTATTTTTATTTTTTGACTTAGTAATTAGAATGGCCATGTGCAGTTGAAGAAACATGTGAACCAGGGCAAACAGAGAAGGAAAGCTCTGAGCAAGTTGTATGGATGAACAAATATATTTTATTATTATTATATTTTTGTGTACATTGGAGGTCGTAACTTAGGGAAGGAGAGCCTTTCATGTGGCAAGCGTTGAACCCTTGACCTCTTGGTGAGGTGTAAGGCTTCTGCCCAATTGAGCTAGTCCCAGTCAGTTTAGATGAACAATAATTATTATCCTTTCTCTACTTTACCTTTCATAGGTACTATGCATAATTGATTTGTTTGTAATTTTATAATTTAGTAGGAAGGTTGAATAATGATTTATCGGAATTATCAGATAATGTGTAAACATTTATTCTTGACTTGTGCTCGTCAGGCATGCAAGCTAATTTAAATCTAAAAATGTATGTTGTTGTTGTTGGTGGTGGTGTCTTATTTGAATAGGAAGATGGTGCGGAAATAACTGCAAATTCGTTACATCCAGGAGCAATTACCACCAACCTCTACCGTAGTAACAGCCTTATTATGGGTATCTCTAAGACACCTCCTTGATCTGATTATGTAATTCCAGTTGATTATTGCATATTCTAGTAGTACTGTAGTGTCACCATTTTTAGAATTATGGTATGTTTTTGTCACATCATCTTGTAACAGAATTTATTTGACTTTCTATGTTAACATTGATGTGAATTTTTTTGTTTTTTATATTTTATTTTATATATTTAGCTATGCCATTGAATACAGACATAGTATCTAAAGCCTAAATGAACAACCTAGCCTACCCATCAACTTATCTTTTCTTATAATCATTTTCACTGCTTTTAAAACAATTCACTAGCCACAATGATGTCCACATACTTATTTTAATTTGACAATTGTGTTTGTATACTGAGAACAATGGTAGTTTTTTATGCAAGCAGCTGTAATAGTACTACTATTAGTGTAAGCGCGCAATGGGGATGATGGAGGGGATCCATACACATATTGTAGGCATAGATAGATAGAAATTCTAGGTTTATTTTTATTTTTATTTTTTCTTTCATAATCCAAAGTCACAGTGTAGACATTTTACTTGTTTCCTCCTTATTGAGATTGATTCATTATTTGAGTCTAGATGCACAGATCCTTGTTGCTGCGCTTCCAATTGATTTGCCATGTTTCAAGGTGTATATATATCTTTGCACTAGGAATCTTAAGTTTTCTACCAAAACTCTTTGAGAGAGCACCGAAAACTCTTTGAGAGAGCCCATTCGGTGCTCCATCCTTCACCAGGTTAACCGCAATTTGAGAGTGAGATTAGATTTCCGTACTGTTCTAAACTTTCTCCAGAATAATAGTTAAACCCTTGTAGACCTCCTACAATTCATCGTCGATGCTAGTACAATTCTCCAATTGACCAAAGATGCTAACAACCCACATTCCTATTTCAGCAATTCCTGGATCTCCTTTGTTCCGCCCATTCATATAGATATGTTGCGAACACATGTCCACATTTCGGATCCACCACGTGTCATGTTAATGTTTTCAATTATTATTACATTAATGTCTATTATATCTTTCTGCCATAAATTCATATTCATATACATCACAAATAAAAATATTTAATTTTTTGTGGTTGTGTTAGTTCTCTAATTTTTTTCAAAATCATTGTGTCCTGTGTCTGTGTCCATGTTTCTTAGTTTTGAGTTTTTTCTACGAAAACATGGCCTTGAGGAGTGAAGTAGGGTGATTGATGGTTTTTTGGCATAATTTTGAAATAAATTTCTTACCATTCTACCATATAGCAGATTTCTTTCTCCCACAGTTCTATTTGTTGTTGTTCCCTTTCTTCTTCACTTTTTTCCCTCTCGTCTCTTCTTTTATTTTTCTCTGCTTCTGCCTAATGCTTCATCAGTGAGCCATGAGTCAAAATTCTCAATCCATTGTATTCAATAACCAAAAGTGTCTTCTATTAATAATAAACCCAATAGTTGTAGACCAACTAGAAAGGAATAAGAAAATAAATACTAAATTGCAAAATAACAAAAATTAGATATTAATAATTTCTTAAATTAAAATGTCTCCTAAAATCCAACTCAAATAAATCAATTTTGCCTCTTTTGGCCATGCCTCACATAAGTGGGAAGAATATCAAGCCTCCGCATGTGATCCCCATCACTTACGTCTTAGTATTGTGATATTTGCAATCTACTCACGAGGATTTCTCTATATTTGTTGTTGCTAGTAGTGAACGATTTGTACTCTTACACTGAAATCTTGTTTTTCTTTTTGTTTGTTGCAGGTCTTGTTAACAAACTTGGTAAATATGTGCTTAAAAATGTTCAACAAGTAAGTTTTTTATTCAACTCATGTATACAAATCTTGAATTGTCCCAATTTAAATGTATGGGTTTGATTAAAGTTTTCTAGTTATTTCATTCAATAGAAGAAAAAAGAGGAAAATTTGGGTTATTATTTCACGGATTCAATTCACCTCTGTTTGAAATCTTAAAACGATTGAGCTGTGGTTACCACAAAAAAAGATGATTTGAAACACAGTTTGAGAAACCTCCTACTATGAGCATCACTTCAAAACTAATTGTGTAGTTCATTTTAAGTGAAGGAAAATAACTATTATTTGATTTTTTTCCCTCATCTTTCATTGTTGGATGAGAATTTTACAGTCAGCTCCAACATTTACATTGTGGCACATTATATATGGAATCTTTGGTTGACATGAGTTTTTCGTTTTTGCCTTTCCTAAAGATTGGAAGAAGGTTCCCTTCATTTGAAAAGCCTAATTGGAAAAACGAATGACAAAGCAAAACATGAAATATACCAACATTTGTCAGAAAATTTGATTAACGTCATAATCCTTAATCATATCATATTGCTCATAAGTATGTGTGTTTTTATTTATTTATTTTATTATTTTAAATATTTCATGAAATCTGGGTGTAGGGAGCAGCAACTACATGCTATGTGGCATTGCATCCACAAGTGAAGGGGATTAGTGGTGAATATTTTGCAGACAACAACTTGGCCAAAGCAAGTTCACAGGCTACAGATGTTGAGTTGGCTAGGAAACTTTGGGATTTCAGTGCCACATTGGTTAAGAAATAGTTATTCCATTGTAATTTCATTAAAATCTTTCATACCTTTAAAAATTACAAGTGAATCCAAAAGATGGTTGTGTGTGTGTGTGTGTGTGTGTAATAGAGTGGGTGGAGTTTTCCTTTAGATGAAAGAGGAATTATAATGACTAGTCTTGTGTTGGGTAACTCGACCCTTAGTGGAACAAGCAGAAATTGATAAATAGACTTTCCATCTTAGTTGGAAGCAGAAGGTGTCTTGACTGTCAATCATGGAAAGATCACTTGACACTAGTAATTTAGTTAATTTAATATGTTTTCTACTTATTGTTAATGAATAAAAATAGTGTGTTGTGGTTACATTGATGGTTGGAATTATTGAAGTTAAAATTTTGATTTTCCAATTCCTAAAGGATTTAAAAAGATGCATGTTGGTAGCTTGTGTGGGTTTGGAGTTAACACTGGTTTGTGTTTTTATGTGCTTCTTTCTTGTATATAATTAACAAAATCAACAAATTATATAAATACATAAAGATGAATGCTTTAACTATGTTTGGGTTGTGCTTGGCACCCTTTTTTGCCCAAGTGTTATGGATATAAAATTATTGTTGGGTAATTTATAAAAATGATAATAAAGTTTTTATAGGTATTTTCAAAACTTTTCTTGTTTTATTTTGAGAAGCGTGAAACAAGTTTGGAAATTTGTCCCACATTGAAAAGAGAGTAAACGATGGGACTCTTAATAAATAGCAACATAGATCTTTTGAACATGAAATTGTGATATGGATGTTAATGTATATTGTGGTGTAATGTCCTGAAAAATAATTATAATAAAATGAGGCTAATGATTAATTAGACGACATCATAAGCCCTAACTTTGAATCTAGAGCTTGTGCTACAAGTTAATGATATGAAATATAAAAATGTCTTAATGGTTACAACTTTCCAAAACGATACTTGGTTACAACAAAAGTGACTTTAAACTCAATATAAATAAAGTCGTAGGTTTGTACAAAATAAATACAACAATAACAAAAAGAGAAGCTTTTGGCTCCAAGTCTTCCCAAACTACTATCTTAACGGAGGCATATCATCAGCACCTGAAAATAGTTTTCCACATCGGGTGAGATAAAACCCAGTAGAGATACTCTAACACAGTATATGAATTTTAATAAAGCTATAGGGCGAATGCATATGCAATGCTCGAGCCAAAACTTTTTATATCTTTTTCCGAAACTATGCAATGCCAGGTTATATCACAATTTATGAAATCATTTGAATAGGGCGGTGGATACAACACTGGGAATCTCTAGGATGTGTCTGCAAGTAAGCTACAAGCACTACTAATTGCCATTTTTACCAATATTAACCAAAAAACTCGACAACTATCCGCGCGGGTTTCTAGACTTTAACCAAGGACACATATACCAACTTAATATCATAACTACACTTTCTACCTAGATTCACCAGGGTATTCAACCTTTTTTTTTTTCTCCAAAATAGTATAAATTTTCAATGTGTTAAATATGTTACGATGCTTAATGCAAATGGATGAGAAACTTAGTTTCAATTCACCTAATTGTCATGCAATTTTTACAATAATTATAACTATCCTCCACTGATAGTCCAAAACATATATCTCTAAACAAATAAATAATTTTCAATACATATATACTTTCCAACATCTTCAAATAGGAGTGATAATTAATATCCAACTCCACCACCATCATCATTATCATCGTTCCAATTTCATAAAACCAATGTTAATTCCATTTTTTTCTTTACAAATCAAATGTTCACAAATTAGGGCAAAATCCCATTTCTTTAAAAATCATCCCCAAGGATAAAAATCCATCATTTCATCACATGTCAACCACATTTACAAACCCATATACCTATTCAAGAACCCATTTTGAAAACTCCTATTTTGATTTCAAACCAAACCCTAGATTTTTATCAAAAATCTCCTAAATCACAATATCCTTTTTAAAAGACAAATAAATAAATTAAAAATCATAAAAAGAGTCAAAGTAATCCCTACCTCAAAGAAGAAGACTAAAAGGAAAGATTGGTAGAACTCGACGGAGCTGAAAGCACGAACTTCTCTGATTAGAAAGAAGCCCTCGACGTGCTCTCTCTTTTTATCAAAGGGGCTAGGGTGTAGAGATCGATGGATTAAGGTGTATTTAAAGTTTAGAGATGGTTTCTATAGAGAGAGAGTGTAGATTTGAGACTTAGAGAGAGAGAGAGAGAAGTGAAAAAATGACTTAAAAAGTAGTTTTTACGAACTGATATACACATAGACCGTTTGAGTGCATGAATGGTCACTCGAGCGACCAGATACAACAAGAGAGACCGCTCGAGTGAACAAAGTATCACTTGAGCGAAGAACACCGCACTCCTAGTACTTTTGCAAGTACTTTTGCAGGCCTACAAAAGTATTGAGAGTTCCAAAAGACTGCTCGAGTGCAAGAAAGACCACTTGAGCCAAGATCGCTCGAGCGCACGAAACACCGCTTGAGCGAAGAATGCCATACTCTCAGTAGTTTTGTAGACCGGCAAAAGTATTGGAAGTTCTCAAAGTTCGCTTGAGCGCAAGAAAGTTCGCTCGAGCGAACAAGCCAAAATCTCAGCAGCACAGTTTTGAAACAACTAACTCCCACCCTGTTTCAAATACAACCAAGACACTCTAATAGCCAAACTCAACAAGGAATAAGATGGAAGAAGACATGAACAACCATCAAGACAATAAAACCTGGATCTAAAACAATGAATGGGTCAGGTTTAAACCAAAAACGCTATATGTGGGATCTCCCCGAAGGGTATCCGAGTGCGATTGATAGTTTAAACTCCCGTCTGGTTTCACAAATGCAATGTGAAATGAAATGAAAGTCAAAATCTGGAAAATTCATAGAAAATCACTAATCATATGAAATGCCAAACTCAGACTACATCACTAGTCTCTGAGTTACCACCTAATTTTTTGGAAAAACTAAGAAACCCATGACTTGTGCCAAAAAGGCCACTATGCATCTCAACCAAAGTGTCTTGATTCGGGAACTTAAGTAAGAGGGGGAAATGCCATGAATTGAGTATTTCTGCTCACCCGATCAAAAGATCGGCCTTTACTAATTCACAATATGAGATTCACTGTCAATATATGCTGATGCTTTGATTATTAATGTTATTTTATTAGATGGAGTAAACAAATATAGACTAAATCACTTGTCTTGGAATGTTTTGATCTCATGCATTTTGAAAAAGATTTGAAATGTGCGACTCTAAAGAAAATAAGAGTCCACATGCATAAAGATCAAAATCATCCCAAATCAAGTGAAAAAACCTCCATCCACTGGAATTCAAAAAGGTAAATCAAATAAGTACGTAGCTACATGGTAGAATGCTAGATGAAATAAAGAAAAAGAAATACACACAAGCAAGATGCTAAGAAAAAAAAGGCTCACCTAGTACTCCTCCGCACCCACCAAGTGCAAAAATATTAGAAAACATGCATGATCCTAGATATAAGAAACTAATGCAATGCACACACAAGAAATGCAACTAAAGACTTGGCTACTAGCATGTGACATGTTAACCATCACAAGACATGTGATTGCGTACAAAATCACACAAGTAATGATAAAACACTAAGTAGCCTACCCCCAAATAGGCATGAATACATATTATATGCTTATGTGATATCTTGTCTTAAATGGAAATGATTTAATTTGATTCCGGGGATCAACAATCAGAAAAACAATAATCTAGGGGTCTAATTAGGCAGTGATTTGATTCAGGGGCAATTTGAGTTTATTCTGGACAGTGATTTGATTACAAAATCTGGGGCTTCAATTTAGGCATTGATTCGGTCCTGATTATGATTGTGGCAATCAGTAGTAAATTAGGAAATGGTTTCCTAATTTAAAGAATCTGAGTTTGAATTTGAAATCTTACTTTAGTGATCAATTAGGAATGGTTGCCTTTCCAACATGGAATTTAAGTAGAATCCTTATTTTAGAATAAAATATGTGATCAAGATACAACTTCCCAAAAAAAAAAAAAAAAAGGTAAATGATAAAAGCCATCATAAGTAGAGTTTTAGAAATTATGAAAAGAGTTTGATTGAATAAGACTCCTTAAGTTGCTAACTTCAGGAGGAGTTTTGATTTCATGGAAAAATGGTAGATAAGGAAGTGGTGGCCAAATCTTTCATTTTGAAATGAAATTTTGAATCCCCTAAGAGATATGTGATTAGGAGAGATTATTTGATTGATTTCTTGGAATAAAATCCATAACTCCTTTGGAAGGATTTTTAGAATAATAAAAAAAAAACCTTCATCTTAGATTAAATGAAAATTTTTAAGTTATTGACTTTGGGAGAATTTCAATTTCAAGGCAAAATGGTAGACAAGGAAGTGGTGACCAAGTCTTTCATTTTGAATAAAATTCCAATTCCCCTGAAAGGTATTTAACTAGAAGATAATTATTTGATTGATTACTTGGAGTAAAATCCAAAACTCCTTGGGGGAAGAATTTTTTTTTAAAAATATATATATATATATATATGAGTAGAATTTTGGAAATTATGGAGGGTGTTGGATTGAATGAAAATCTTTAAGTTATTGACTTTGGGGAAATTTTGATTTTATGGAAAAATGAATGACAAAGGAAGTGATGACCAAGTCTTCCATTTTGAGTAAACTTTCCATTCCCTTAAAAGGTATTTGACTATGAGATGATTCTTCAATTAGATGCTTGGAATAAAATATGAAATTCCTTGAAATATTTTTGAAATAAAATTTGAGTAGGGTTAGGAAATTATAGAAAGCATTTGATTGAAGAAAATCTTTGGGGTATTAGCTTTGGAAGGAACCATAATTTTGTGAAAAATGGTAAATAAGGAAGTGGTGACTAAATCTTCCATTTTAAATAAAATTTTGGTTCCTCTAGAAGGTATATGGCTAAGAGATGGTTATTTGATTGATTTCTTGAATAAAATTTGGACTCCTTGATTTAAAAAAAAAGTTGAAAAAAAAAGAGAGAAATGAAAGACAATTGAAACTGTAATTTGATCATGTATTTTTAAATAAAATTGGGACTCCTTAAGTGAATAGTAAAGAATGGGAAGGCAATTGTTAACCGCTCACTTTGGTAAGAATTCAAAATTCCATAAAATTCTTGGTTAGGAAACTATTACCTAAATAGTGATGATGATGTTGAAATCTAATGGTAAATTTGAGAAGAATTTGATTGGGCTTCACCTGCTTAATCTTAGGATTGTTTGCAACCATCGCTCCTGGAAAAGAAATTTCTTGAGCCAAGTGGACTATACCTAGTCGGTTGTCTCGTACTCAAGATATAGTTGA